GCCTCCTCCTCCTTTTCCCTCTCCCTCTCCTCTCTCCCTTCCCCCTCCTTCTCTCTCTCCCTCCTCTTTCTCCCTCTCCCTCCCCCTCCTCCTTCTCTCCCTCCCTCCCTTCCTCCAATCCCTCCCTCCCTCTCTCCCTTTCCCCCCCCCTTCTCTCTCTCCCTCCTCCTCCTCTCCTCCCTCTCCCTCCCTTCCTCCCTCTCCCTCCTTCTCCCTCTCTCCCTTCCTCCCCCCTTCTCCCTCTCCCTCCCTTCCCTCCCTTCCTCCTTCTCCCTCTCCCTCCCTTCCCCCCCTTCTCTCTCCCTTCTCCTCCTCCTTCTCCCTCTCCCTCCCTTCCCCCCCCCCTTCTCTCTCTCCCTCCTCCTCCTCCTTTTCCCTCTCCTCCCTTCCTCCCTCCCTCCCTCTCCCCCCTTCCTCCCTTCCCTCCCTTCCTCCCTCTCCCTCCCTCTCCTCCCGCACTTGCCAACGCCCGCGACCCCTTCTTTGCACGCAATCACGCCCGTCTCCCCCCCGCTATAAATCAATTGTTTTGCATGTGCAAGTTGCAGGCAGATCGGTTCAGATCTTGTCGTCAACTGCTTGCGTGCGATTTTTTTTTTCTTTTTTTTTTATTCGGATGATATCTTATTTTTTGGGGATGGCTTTTTTTAGGGATGAGTGCTTGCTTGTTTTTTTTTGGGGGGATGACTGTTTGCTTTAAGGAGGACTGCTTGCTTTTGGGATGACTCTTTGCTTGTTATTTTTAGGATGACTTTGTTTTTGGGATGACTGTTTGCTTTTAAGATGACTACTTGCTTGTGGGATGACTGCTTGTTTTTAGGACGAGTATTTCCTTTAAGGATGACTTTTTTGCATTTAAGGTGACTGTTTGCTTGTTTTTAGGATGACTTTGTTTTTGGGATGACTGTGCGGTTTTTTGATGACCTTTATTTTGCATTTGGGATGAGAGTGCTTGTTTGTTTTTAGGATGACTTTGTTTTTTGGGATGACTGTCTGCTTTTAAGATGACTGCTTGCTTGTGGGATGACTCTTTGCTTGTTATTTGGGACGACTGCTTGCTTTTGGGATGACTGTTTGCTTTTAAGGAGGACTGCTTGCTTGTGGGATGACTCTTTCCTTGTTTTTAGGATGAGTATTTCCTTTAAGCATGACTTTTTTGCATTTAAGGTGACTGTTTGCTTGTTTTTAGGATGACCTTGTTTTCGGGATGACTGCTTGCTTGTGAGATGCTTTTTTTGCATTTGGGTTGACTGCTTGCTTATTTTTAGGATGACTTTGTTTTTGGGACGACTGTTTGATTTTAAGATGACTGCTTGCTTTTGGGATTACAGATTGTTTGTTGTTTTGGGATGACTGCTTGCTTGTTTTAGGATGAGCATTTCCTTTAGGGATGACTTTTTTGCACTTGAGATGACTGCTTGCTTGTTTTTTTGGGATGACTGTTTGTTTCCGGGATGACTGCTTGCTTGTGAGATGACTTCTTGTTTGCTTTTAGGATGACTTCGCTTTTGGGATGACTCTTTGCTTGTTTTAGGATGACTGCTTGCTTTAGGAATGACTCTTTGCCTTTGAAACAACTGCTCGGGATGACCACTTCCTCGTGCTTTAGAGACACCTACCCTACCCACTTGGTCTGTACGTCGAACGGTCAGTCTCTCCGTAGATAACGAGGGAGGGGGGGAGGGGGGGGGGGCGGGCGGGTAGATAATGCAGAGTAGATAGGGAAGGGTAGATGACCATACAGCAGATGGCGTCGAGGTCTGTTGTGTAATATATGGCGTTCAATTTGGGTAGATGAAGGATGGTAGATGACAGATCGGGTTGATTTATCATAGGGACGTCGGTAGATTAGACGGGGTTGGGTAGACACGGTAGATAGAAGGTAGAATGTGAATCGTGTGATTATGACTCGGTGGATATTTGTTTGGGTTGAAATTGACAGGGGAAAAAATACGAGAAACGAGAAGAAATAAGGAATTGGAGAGGAGAAGAAGGAGGAGGCAACCGAGAAAAAGGAAATAAGAGAAAATGTAAATGTAAGAGAATGGCGGAAGTGAAAAAGAAGAAAAAAAATAAAATAAAAAGATAAGTCAAATATGTGTCGTGTAAGTATAAAGAATTATGTACTAGAATGAGCTATTAATAGGAAAAATATAAGTTATCACTGATTATGACGAAAAAACACTAATGAACGTGATAATGACAATAATCATCATTATAACAATAATGGTAATGATGATAATGACTTGGACGATGGGATAACAATAACAATAAACAATATAATAATAACAGTTGTCCTTATCATCACTCTCATTATCATTATCATCATTATCATTATTACTGTTATAATTATCATTATCATCCCTATCAGCATTATTATTGTCATTTTTATCATCAATATCATTATCATTATCCTCATAGTAACAATAAAACAAACAAACAAATCTATCAATTAATACCAATATTATACTAATACTAATAAAAAAAGTACACTAAAAACCTCACAGCCAAAAAAAAAAAAAAAAAAAAAGACACCAATTAACCCCCCCAAAAAAAAAACACACAAAAAACAAATACACCTATCAAAAAACCTTACAGCAAAAAAAAAAAAAAAAAAAAAAAACACAAATTAAAAACCTCACAAAAAAAAAAGAAAAAAAAATAATAACACACCAATTAAAAACTTCACAGCCAAAAAAAAAAGAAAAAAAGAAAAGAAAAAGAAAAAGAAAACAGCGTTTCTAATTCACACAGCCCATAACATCACTTGCCAAACGGGCCAAACTTGCTGCATATCTTGACCCGCAACTCTCTTTAAAAGTCAATAATAATTTTCCTAAACTTCAAGTTCGTTACAGGCAATTTACCGTGGCTGACAAGCACCTTGGAGTTGTAAAATGAGCAAAAAGAAAAGGGAGGGAGGTGAGGGGGAAGGGAGGGAGGAGGGAAAGGAGGGAGAGAGGGAGAGGGAGGGGGTAGGGAGTGGAGAGAGGAAGGAGGGAGGAGGTGGGAGGGAAGGGAGGAAGGGAGGGAGAGGGAGAGGTAGGAAGGTAGGGAGGTGGGAGAGAGGAGGGAGGGAGGAGTGGAGGGGATAGAAGGAAGGGAGAGGGAAGGAGAAGGGAAGGAGGGAGAGGGAGGGAGGAAGGGATGTGGGAGGGAGGGAGGGAGGTGGGAGAGAGGGAGAGGGAGGGAAGTAAGGAGTGAAGGAGAAGGGGAAGGAAGGAGGGAGGAAAGGAAGGAAGGAAGGACAGAATAAAAGAGAGAAGGAAGGGAGAAAGGAGAGAGAGATGGAAGGAAGAAGGGACGAGAAAAGGAAAAGAGGGAGAGAGGGAATCAAGGAGGGAAGCAAGAAGGAGAGGGAAGGAGGGAGGAATATGCCCATAAAGTCTTATGCAACTGCAATGTGGTAGTTAGTGGAGAGCTACAGGCCAAAACTTTGCTGATTAGTACTTTCAAGTGTTATTGAAGTGTCGACTTAACTATGTGGCAACGAGGTGGTGAACAGTTGTATGTGGGGATATGCCAAGGAAGGGTTAGAATGCCTGTGAAGTTAGTTCGCATGCTTACTATGTCTGTGCAATTAGGCAGAATGGTAAGTATGCCTGTACAGTTAGTAGGAACGGTTAGTATGCCAGTGCAGCTTGTACGACTGTTAAGTGTCCTTATGTCGTTAGTAGGAAGGGTAAGTATGTTGTAGTTAGCACGAATGATAAAGACCTTTGTGCACGGTCGTTCCCATTGTTACAGTTATATTAGTTATTATGGATGGAGGGAAGGAGAGAGAGGGAAGAGGGAGGGAGGGAGAGCGAAGAGGGGAAAGATAGGGAGAGGAGAGAAAGATAGAAGGAAAGAGAAGAGAGAAAGAGAGAAAGAGAGGATGTATGTATGGTAAAATCGCTCCAACCAACAACAACAACAACAACAACAAAACAGTTGACATAGCACCAGAAGGTGTTGGGAAAGAGAAATGATACAAACAGAACTTAGTATGGATTGAGTGACACTTCTGCTCCGACTTGAAAACTACCTTCTTCGTGAAGGGGAATTGAGGGGCTCTTAATGGTCGTTCTGAAGGCTAGTTATGTTCTGAAGGCTAGTTATGTGCCCGCATTACGATATTTCGGAAGTCTAAGGCCGTTGTGGATATCCGTCATATGTATCTACTTGTTATACGCATACGTGAGTGGATAGATAGATGGATAGATAAAGGTTTGTAGATTGAGAGATAAGCCAATATACACGGATATGTTGGTGATATAGATACATACATAGATGGACAGACTTAGAGACAGATAGATTGATAAATATGTAGATACATAAATAGATCAACTTATAGACAGATAGATTAACAGATAATAAGACGGATAGGTTGAAAGTTGGACTCCCAAATAGATATCTATGTCTATAGATAAATAAATAAGATAGATTCATAACAGGTAGACAGACAGAATAAGAGCTAGACAGACAAACATGTCTCTTCCTGCCTTGGCTATTAAAGAAGGAAAAAAGAAAAAAAAAAAAAAAAAAAAATGAACAGATAAAACAGAAAAAAAAACAAAACAAAAAAAAAAAAAAAACAGATGATCATATTCTTTGTAGTTTTACATGCTAAGGGGCAGTAGCTTTTTTTATGGAGGAGATAAAACGACATCAGATAGCAATTAAGATAGTGTTGTGTTACACGACTACACGGAGGATGAGGCAAGTCTCAAGAAATCTTATACTTTCTTCGCTTTTTCCCCTTCTTCCTTTGTTTGCTGTCATGAGTATTTTGAAGCATTCCATTTTGGAGGAGAATAAGGAGAAGGAGAAGAATGAGAATAAGTGGAAGAACAATTACATGGATGAGAATAGGGATAAGTGGAAAGATGAGAACAAGGATATGAATAAGGATAAGTAGAAGAATAAGAACACGGATAAGAATAAGAATAAGTGGAAGGATAAAAACGAGGATAAGAATGGGAATAAGAGTAAGAATAAGAATAAAGAATAATAAGAATAAAAACATGAGCAAAAACAATATGAACAGAAATATACCTGAAGGAAAGTAATGATAACAGGAATGAGAATAAAGAATAAAGAACAAAGAATAAAGAACAAAAAATAAAGAATAAAGAACACAGAATAAAGAACAAAGAATAAAGAATAACGAACAAAGAATAAAAAGAAGATAATTCCGAAACTCAGAATTATTACAGAATAACAATAACAATGCTGTCAGGTACAAAGACATCTCATTACCAGTCTACATCAAGAGAAAATGATGATAGTGATAATAATGATTTAACAACAATAATGATGATGATGACATATGATGGTGGTGGTGATGATGATGATGATGATGATGATGATGATGATGATGATGATGATGATGATGATGATGATGATGATGATGATGGTGGTGGTGGTGGGTGGTGAATGATGGTGGAGGGTGGTGGTGGTGGTGATGATGGTGGTGGTGGTGGTGATGATGGTGATGATGATGATGATGATGATGATGATGATGATGATGATGGTGATGATAGTGTGGAGGTGGGATGATATGATGATGGTGGTGGTGATGATAATGAATAGTAATGATGAATGATAATGATAGTGATGATAATGATAATGATAATAATAAAGATGATAATTATAATGATAATGATGTTGATAGTGATAATAATAAAGATGATAATGATAATAACAATGTTGATAAAGATAATAAAAATGATAATGATAACAATAATGACAACGACAACAAATATCCGTGTATAATGAAGACCGGAGACGCTAAGCGGTGTTCCCTTCGCCTTCGTATACCATTAGTAACATGACTCTGAAGAAAAAAGAAATAATAAAGAAAGAAAGAACAGCGTGATAGCGGAAGGAGGAGAGAAGGAAGGAGAGAGGGAAGGGGAGAGGGGGGGAGGGGGAGAGTGAGAGGAAGAGGAGGCGAGGAAGAGAGGCAGGGAGGGAGGAGAAGGGAGGGAGGGAGGGAGAGAGAGAGAGAGAGAGAGAAAGAATAGAAGGAGAGAAAGGAGGGAGGAGAAGAGAGAGATAAGAGAGAGAGAGGGGGGGAGAGAGAGAGAAAGAGAGAGAGAGAGAAGAGAGGAAGGAGATGAGAGAGAAGAGAGAGAGAGAGAGAGAGAGAGAGAGAGAGAGAGAGAGAGAGAGAGAGAGAGAGAGAGAGAGAGAGAGAGAAAGAAGAGAAAGAGAGAAAGGATAGAAGGAGAGATATGAGAGAGAGAGAGAGAGGAGAGGACAGACAAGTCCTCCTAGGACCAATAAAAGCGAAAACAGAAAGCGATAATAAAAAGGAAGAAAGCAAATCCGAGAAATAAAAAGTAACAATAAAAAGGACATAGGATAAAACACAATCTCAAGAAATAATAATAGAGAACAAAATACATCCACATATAGTGATAATATAATATTAATAACAATAATAATAAACGCAGAGAAAAAGAACAAAGAACCCCCCCCCCAAAAAAAAAATAAAAAAATAAAAACAAGACAAAAAAAATAAACAAGACAAAAACAAAACAACAAAAAAACACTATAAAGAGAGAGAGAGAATAAAAAAAAAGAGACAAAGAAAAAAGAAAAGAAGAAAGAAAGAGAATTCTAGACTTGACAAGCCATTCCCAGTGACCCGAAATTTTGCCCGCGGACGATGAGCCAAGGTAGGGGGGGCGGGGGCAGGGCGAGGGGGGAGGGGAGGGGGAGAGGGGCTTGGGAGAGGAGAGAGAGGAGAGAGGGGAGAGGGTGAGGGGGTGAAGGGTGAGCGGTGAGGGGTGGGGCCAGAGGAGGGTGAGTTAGGGGAGAGGAGATGTGAGGGGGTTAGGGAGGGTGAAGATTGAGAGGGGGGGTGCGGTGAAGGGGCTAGAAGAGAGAGGGAGAATGAGGAGGGCTGCGGGTGGATGGAGGGGGAAAGAGGAGGGGAGATGTGAGGGCTTGGTGATGGGGGGGCGGGGGGTGAACGGCTTTATGAAAGACTGTGAGCGAGAGCCAGAGGGCGCCGTCGACAAATGGCCTCCGAGGCTGTGGCGTGAGGCCGTCAGGGAAGTGTTTCTGTTTACCTTTTTCCTTTTTTTTCGTCTATTTTCTATTCTTTCTTTTATCTTTTTATTTTTATTCTATTTTATTTTATTCTTTTATCTTATTCTATTTTTTTTATTTTATTATTTTTTAATTTAATTTAATTTTATATATTATTATTATTACTTATTTTTTTTTTTTTTTTTTTTGGGGGGGGGTCGGGTCTTTCCCGTGCACCTTTTTTATCAATATTATTTTCTTTCTTTTTTCTTTCTTTTCTTTTCCGTGCGTTGTGGAAGCGTTTATTATTATTGTGACTTTTTGGGCCTTTTATTATTTATTATTATTATTATCATTATTATCACCATTATTTATTTTACCTTTTTTCTCTTCAATTTTTCTTTTCTTTCCGTCCGTTTCGTTCTTTTTCTCTTCTTTCTTTTTTCTCGCTCTCGGCCCTCTCTCCTCTCTCTCCCTCTCTCTCTCTCTCTCTCTCTCCTCTCCCCTCTTCTCTCTGTCTCACTCAACTCTTTCTTCTTTCACCTCTCTCTCTCTCTCGTCTCTTTTTTGTCCATTTGTCCCCCTTTTTCCCCCGTGTCCCCCTCTCCCCTTTTGGGTGACCCACCTGCCCCCTTCCCCTCGCCCCCTCTTTTTTCTTTTTCCCCCCCCGAATAGTTTTTTTCCCCTTTTGCCTTTTTTTTTGTCCCCCCCCATCCCCCCTCCCCCTCTAGCCCCCCCCCGGCTCTTTTTTTTGTTTTGCCCCCCCTTTGTTTTGTTCTTACTACGTTCTTTGGGCCGGGGAGTGTGGGATCCACCTTGCTTTCTGGGACTCCTACTTCCGACCCCCTCCCCTCCTTCCCGTCCCCCCCCCCCCCCCCCCCTTCCCCCCCCCCCCTCCCCCCCGTGTTTTTGTTTCCTGCCTTCCATCCTCTACTCTCTCCTCGTGTGTTCTCTTTTTCTCTTTCTTCTTTTTTCTCTTTTTTATCGCGACGGACCCTCTCTCTCACACTTTACACATGAGGATATTTGTGGCAAACGAGTGATGAGAAGAAAGACAAGCGCACCGACTCGCCGGCGACCCGCAGCCCGGCACGGGAGGAGTAGGCGAAAGAGGAAGGAAGAGTAAAGGCAGGGGAAGGAGGAACGAGAGAACGAGAGAGAGAGAGACGAGAGAGGGAGACGAGAGAGCAACCCACGAGCAGAGAGCACCCTGAGAAGAGCCAGGAGGAGAGCCCGAGAGAGCAGAGAGAAGAGAGACGAGAGAAAGAAGCGAGAAAGAAGCCCCCCCGAGAAGAGAGAAAGATGGTTTCTCCTGAGGAAGAGAGAGAGAGAGAGAAAGGACGTGGACCAGAAAGAGACAGAGACACAGACAGAGACAACAGAGTCAGAGTACCCAAACCGACAAGAGCAGAGACCCCCCCCCCCCAAAAAAAAAAGACAAACCAC